GAATTTATTTTTTTTAATATTTATTTATTTATGATAGTCACAGAGAGAGAAAGAGAGAGAGGCAGAGACACAGGCAGAGGGAGAAGCAGGCTCCATGCACCGGGAGCCCGACGTGGGACTCGATCCCGGGTCTCCAGGATCGCGCCCTGGCCAAAGGCAGGCGCCAAACCGCTGCGCCACCCAGGGATCCCAGTAACTAGAATTTAAATAAAAACTAAACAAAACCCCAAAACAAACAAAAAACCCAAAAACAAAACAAAAACTTACCAAGACTAAGTCACAAGGAAATGGGAAATCTTAATAGATCTATTACTAGTGAGGAGATTGAGCCAGTGATCAAAATTCTCCCAACAAAGAGAAGCCATGGACCTGAAGTCTTCACTGGTGAATTTTCCCAGACATTTAGAGAAGAATCCCAATTCTTAAGCTTTTCCCAAAAACTGAAGAGAAGGGAACACTTCCTAACTTGTTCTGTGAGGCCGGCATTCCCTTGACACCAAAGCTAGACACAGACACCATAAGAGCAGAGGACCATGGACCAGTATCTATTATGAGTATCGGTGCAAAAGTCCTCAGTAAAAAACTAGCAAACCAATTTAGCAACATATCAAAAAATCATACACCATGACCAAATGGAGTTTATTCATGGAATTCAAGGATAGTTCAGCGAACACAAATCATCAGTGTAATAAGCCACAGCAACAGAATAAAGGGGGAAAAGCACATGATCATCTCAACCGATGCAGAAAAAACATTTGGCAAAATTCAAAATCCTTTTGTAATAGACACCCAACAAATCAGATGGACGCTTCCCCAACCTAATAAAAGTCATTGTTAAAATATAAAACTTCCAGTTATTTTACCAACAAAAATGGATTTATTTGGGAATAGCAGAGACCTGTAATCTGGAACAAGCAAGGCACAGCAAAACCAACCATAAGCAAGTCCCCAGAACAAAGGAAAGGAGGTTCTTTTATAGAGGAAGGTGGGAATTGGGATGGGCTTCTCATTGGCTGGGCTGTTGTCCATGTAGGAGGAAAATTTCCTTTCTCCTGATAGGGTAGTAAAATAGTATTCACCTGCAAGGTGTCTGTCTTCCTGTTATATTTGCAGTTTATTCTCAGATAAGACAACAAAGCCACAGGTAACACAAGAAAAATAAACAAATTGAACTCCATAAAAATTTTAGAATTTTGTACATCAAAAGATGCTGTCACAGAGTTAAAGTCAACCCATGTAATGGGTGAAGATACATGCAAATCATAAATCTAATAAAGGAATGTCCAGAAAATACAGAGAACTCATTAAATTCAACAACAAATATCTCAAAACAATCTAATTCAAAAATGGGCAAAGGACTGAACATTTACCCAGAGAAGATAGTAAGATGGCCAACAAGCACACCAAAAGATGCTCAACATCAGTCATTTTCAGGAAAATACAAATCAAAACTATAGTGAGATATCACTTTGCACCCACTAGGATGACTATAATTTTTTAAAAGTATGATAATAGCAAGCAAGGTGGTATAGAAAAATTGGAATCTCCATTCACTATTAGGGATGTAAATTCATTCAATCACTGTGGAAAACAGTATGACAATTCCTCAAAAAATTAAAACTAGAACTGCCATACACTCCAGCCATTTGACCTCCGAGTATATCCCCCCAAAAATTGAAAGCAGGGTCTTGACGAGACACCCATGTTGGTAGCATCATAACTCACAGTAGATACGGAAGCAACCCAGGTGGCCACGGATACAGAAAATGTGATGTATACGTATAATAGAATGAATGGTAGTCAGCCATGGAAGGAAGGAGACTCTGACACCGGCTGCCACAGGCGTGAACCTACAGGACGTGGTGTTCAGTGAATAAGCCAGTCACAATAGGACAAATACTGTAGAATCTCACATCAGTTACCTAGAGTCATCAAAATCATAGAGACAGAGAGTAGATGGTGGTTGCCAGGAGCCAGTGGGAGGGACAATGGGGGTTACTGCCTTGTGGACATAGAGTCTCAGTTTTACAAAGTTAAAAGGGTGGTAGGGATGGATGGATGGATGGATGGATGGATGGATGGATGGATGGATGCACAATGGTGTGAGTATATTTAATACCACTAGGCTGTACACTTAAAAATGGTTAAGATGGTAAATTTTGTGTTGTATATTTTAACCCAATAAAAAAAAAGTTAGGTGGAAGGCAAAATCGTCAAGCTTTTAGAAAATAATCCTTCTGACCATATTTCTGATCCCAAGGCAGGGAGTGTTTTGTGAAATAGGACCAAGAAGCAGTAGCCGTGAAGAAAAATACTGATGAATCTGGCTCACTAAAATTACAAACCTCCACATGCCACGTGTTGGCTTCTGGGGAGGTGACGCCGTGTTGCCGGTTCCTCTGCTCCTCTGGTGGCTCTTGCATGGGGTCTTGTGAGACATCACCGTTCTGAGTCCTCGTATGTTGAAGATGCTTTTTTTTTTCATTATTGCTCTTAAATCCTAGTTTGGGTGTGGGATTCAGTGTTCAAGTTCTGTTCCCCAGGCACCGTGCAGGTGCTGTGTCCCAGGCTTGCCCCGGGGCGTGGGCACACGGTCGTGTCTGTCCCACAGCCCCCAGCTTTTCTGCGCCTGGATGCCCTCAGATCACAGCACCAAGCATCTCTGCATGGGTGTACCTCTTTACCTTCCTTGGCACTCACCAAGTACTTTCCGTCAAGAGCTCATGCCTTCAGTTCTGAGAGGTCATTGCCCTTACACTGCCCCAAGCCACAGCCCCCTCTCACCACGGAGCAGCCCCCCAAAACCTCCGTTCGTTCAGTGTGTCTGTTGGGCTGACCGACCATTCCCTTTCTTGTTTTCCACTCTTCTATTTTAAACATTTCTTTCTATCTTTGTCGTGGTAAATTTTGTGTCTGTGGGGGAAGACATGCCCACTTTTCCATCTGGAAACCAGAAATCCCCCTTTAAAAATATTTAAAGTTTAGGTAACAGTGTTTCTGTTTTCATGCTCCGTGTTGGTTTTTATAGCTACCTTCTCCAGGGCAACAGTGGCACGTCTGGCTGTCAGCGTGGACTCTGGAGCCAGCTGGCCTGGACTGAGCCTAGCTTGACCCCTGGCCGAAGCAGTCTTTTCATGGCTGCGTGCCTCGGTTTCCTCATCTGTAAAGTGGGAGAAACAATGGCACACACTGCACAGGGTGTTGTGTGGACTGAGTGAGAGCATCCCCAGGCACATGGGCAGCACATCATGTATGTGAGCCCTAGTCCGTGGCTTGTGACACTCATAGTCTCGGTGCCTTATGAACATGTTTAAATTTGGTGAGGGGAAGGGATGGTGCCAGGGAATGACGGAGGGGTTTAGGGAAGGCTGTCGTTTTTCACATGTTGTTTCGCACAAAGACTCAGGTAGGGGTGTGGCCACAGCCCTCAGGAAATCACACTGTGAGGCTCGGGTCAGCTTCCAGAAGGTGATCCTAGAGGGGCAGCCAGTCCCCCTGAGCTGGCCCCGTCTGGTCGGGTTCCTGGGTGGCTTGCCCTGCCCAGACCTCTGAGGTGGGTGGGAAAGGCCAGCGTGGCCCGCAGAGAGCCCAGGCCTCCTTGCTGAGCCCTGCAGCCGGCCCCACCTCAGGAACCACACAGAGTGCAGAGGCAGGTCATGCAGCTCAGAGAAGGGGAGAAGACCCTCCTATGCACCCCCCACCAGCTGCTGCCTTCACGCAGCCCCACCCGAAGCCACCCCTGCCCACTGTGGTCATCTTTCCAGCCCAGTTAAGCCAGGGTGCCTTCTGCCACTGAGGCTGTGTGTATGGTTCTGGTTGGCATGTCTCCTGTCTGCCACGCCCCACACTTGCTCCCCAGTTCTTGCTGCACGCTCAGGGAGCTCTCTGGGGAGGGCAGCAGGACAGGAAGGCAGAAATTCCTGTCCTGGGGAGATGACAGGGCCAGTCACAGAGCAGGTGGAGGTGGGACCAGCGCCCTGAAGCAAAGACACCATTTGAGGGGCCGGCAGCTCCCCTGGGGTTGGGCAGCACCGTGCACCCCTCTTCCTGTGCACACCCTGCCCACAAGGAAGCCACATCCTGCGCTGGCTCACATGCCTGGGCTGTATCTATGCCTCCAGTGGGTTTCCAGTCTTTCCACATCAGGGAACTGGCTTCCTTACAAATCTTGAAACAATGGAGAGGGTCATTTCTGAGCCCTTGGCTCACCTCTGGCCCCAGCCAGTGCCCCACAGCCTGAGACTGACCCTGAGGGCCTCTGTGCCTCTTGGCCCACCTGCCCCTCCCAGCATGAGCCCTGCGGGTGCTCTATAGCCTGAAGGGCCCTGGGCAGACTGGCCCATGGAGGAGTGACAGAGAGGAAGCCCAGGGAACGCAGTGGGCAGAAGAGACACCAGGACCACACAATGTGTACACAATGCTCAGCGTTTATTTGCAAGGTTGGGACAGGGTGGGCAGACGGCTTGCTGTGGAGCACCGACCCCTCCCTGCCCTGCCTCTCGGCCACCATCGCCCCAGGCCCAGTTTCAGACATGGGCAGGCAGCCACCCTGCCTGACGCCACTTGCTGGATGGGCCTTGGCCCGCATCCTGCTACAGGAGGTGGCTGGCAGGAATCTGCTCCACGGGGCTCTGAGGACAGTGGGAGACAACATGGCAGCTCCTGGGCAGTGTGCTACGGGGCATCCCTCTGACACTAAGAAGGGGGGTGAGTCCATGCAGAGCGAGCACTTGTCTCAGATGAGGGGTAGGCCTTGATGGCCAGGCAAGTGGCCAAGATGTGTTCCGAGGGCTAGGGCCCCTCCCAGAGCCCTCCTCAGGTAGGTCCTCAATGTGTCATGAACTTCCAGGTTGACCCTCCAAGGCACAGGTCCCACAAGAGCACAGGTGGCCAGTGTGCCTGGGCTCCTGCAGCGGGCTGGCTGAGCTTTCTTTCCGTGGTTGGGTGGGGTGGGGGCCTGGTGGGAGGGGGTCAGAATGGCAACGCACAGTGGTGGACCCCTAGACTGGGAAGACGGGGGTGCTGTCCTCGGGAGCCTTGGGTGAGGGGCTGCAGGACGGGGCACAGCTGCACTTGTCCACGTGGGTGTAGGTGTGCTGGACGGCTGTCCCATCGGGACACTGCATGGTCACCACCTCCTCGTGAACCACTGTCTCCTGGCAGCAGGTGCACTGATGCTCCATAGCCTGGGCCTCCATGGAGTACCTGCAGACACACGGCCGCCCTCAGGACCCGCCTGGTCCAGCCCCAGCCACTGGGCTCCTGGTGTCCCTAGGGTCTGGGGTCGGGAGCCGAGTGCCCCACCCTCTGGTGGGCAGCCCAGACCTCATCCTCGGAGCACGAGGGTATCTCTGACCTGGCATGGGACAGTCCTCAGGGCCCCTAAACTCTGACCCGCTCCCTCCAGGCCCCCTCTTGTCTTGGAACCAGCTCATGCATGGGACATGCTGACCTGGGCAGGACCGTCCTCCCTCCCAGAACCTTCCCTGGGTCCTGAGCCGGCGGGCACCCTTCCTTCTGCTCTCTGGGCCCACCTGCTCACAGCTGGCCAAATCAGGGTGGTCTGGGCAGGCAGGGGCCTCTGGGGAGGGGCTCTGGGGAGGGGCTCGGGGCTTGCTCACTTGGACACTCCGGGGCATGAGCCCTCGCAGAACGTGACGTTGACTGGGGCATGGGTGGCACAGCCCTGGTGTGTCAGGACCGTCGTGTTGACGCGGACTTGGCACTTGTCTGTGCGGACAGAGAGGCCGTGGAGGTGCGGGGGCAGCCGCTGGGGACCCCGACCTGGGCCGTGGCTGCACACCACCCTCCTCCCGAACCCCTGCTTAGGGTGGGTGCTGGGGCCGGGGGTAGCTTGGGGCAGAAATCAACAGAGACAGATGGGAAAGGGGTAGGGCGGCAGGCTGGCCTCGACTTACCCACTTCCTCACAGGAGTAGCAGCAGCCTATTTTCCTGAGGATGCCCTGAAGGGGGAGGCAGAGACAGGGCTTGGGCTGGGGGCCCCTGATGCGGTGGGCGTGGCCTCTGAGGCAATGGGGGAGGGCCTAGGTGGGCGTGGCCTCCAGGGGCGGGGCCTCTGAGGGCTGGGGACCTGAATGGGGGGAGGGTGGGGTCTCCCGGGGTGGGGCCTCTTGGGGGCGGGGCCTCTGAGGCGGTGGGGGCGTGGATGTGGGGGGTGGGGCCTCCTGGGGCGGGGCCTCCGCGGTAGGGCAGAAGAGCACAGCGCACACCTCACAGCTGGACACCACCGGGCAGGGCGTGGGCCTCTGAGTGAGCACGTGGAGCCCATTCTGGACCTCGCAGCGGTACTCCGTGCAGTTGTCCAGGAGGGGGTTGACCCAGGTTTCATTGGGCTGCAATGCAATGGGGAGGGTGGAGGCCCGTAGGGAATTATGTGAGCTGAGTGGGTCGAAGGGAAGGGTCTCCCAGCTGGGGGGCAGAGACCAATCCCGCTCTTACCTGGATCAGCCAGCCATCAGAAGTGGGACAGGCTGTCTGCACGCACTCCCCACAGCACTGTCCGGCCACCTTCCGGTGCTCGTAGCCCTGAGGATCAGGGGTGGTTACATGGTCACCCCCAGTCCTCCTGCCCTCCCATCCATACCCTCAGGGCCCAGCGACCTCCTTGGCAGCCCCTGACTCTGGGAGGCCATTTCCCTGCCCAGGGCTGCTGCCAGGTGGGCACCACCGGGGGTGGGGGGCTGAGAATGCCCTGGAGGGTTTACCTGGCGGCAGGTGGTGTTACAGGTGTTCTCTTCACACTGCACAATTGGGCCCTGGGTGTCCATGGACAGGCAGGTGCACGTGTGGCAGGGAGTGACTGATGGGAAGGTGGCACCAACCTGCAGTGGATGGGATGAGAAGAGGTGACATTGAGGACACTAAGGGGCTGCAGGCCCAGGACACCTCCCTGTGGCTGGGACAAAGGGAGCCCAGAGACATGGGTTCTTTCTTCTCCAGATAGATCATGCAGGTGCCCCCTGGCTGAGCACAGACTAGAGCAGACGCAGGACCCCAGGCCAGCTGGAGGGGCTGGGGGGGCCCAGTCTCACCCCAACACTCGTGCTGTGAGGAAGCTCCTGGGACACCTCTCAGAGGCAGCCAACAGCTCCCCCAGGCACTCGACAGACAGGGCCGCCCTTGTGTCCCCTCCCCTGTGTGCCCACGTGGCTCCAAAGGTCCCGGAGCCCCCATGCTTATCCAGTATCCTGCTGGAGGGTGCAGGGGGGCGCTGGGCATGTTCAGATAAGGGGTGGAGGTCCCATGTGGATGTACAGAGCCTGGGGCCCAACCCTCTGCCACCATCCCACCCAGCCCTGTGGCTGCCCAGCCCTTACCCCAAAGAAAGTGTGATTGTAGAAGCACAGCTGAGGTCCTAGAAGCAAAGAGACGGCTGAGCACCTGCCCAGCTGGTGGGGAGGAAGTGCTCTGACCACCCCCACACCCCGATTCCCCAGCCCCACTCACGGCAGCTGAAGGTAGGGCAGCAGGCATCCTCCTTCTGGGTGCGGACCAGCTCCTCTGCTGGCCCACATGTGGGTGGGCTCTGGGTGCAGGTGGTTGTGTTGCAGACTGTGGGAGAGTCGGGGTGCTATCAGGGGTGCCCCTGCAGCTCCCCCATCTGGCTGTGCTAGCTCCCACTGGGAGGGAGTTTCCTGCAACAGTCATATTTTCCCCTGGTTGTTGAGCCCTCCGGGTTCCTACTGGGACCCCTTACCATACCAGGGCACACCAGAGGGGCCAGCCTCAACCCAGCCCAGCCCCTGAGGCCCTCCCCAGCCCTACAGGCCTCCTCCCCTTCCGGCCGGGGATGCACACGGCTCACCGCACAGCGTCTCCAGACAGCATGAGTTGTTGCCCAGAGGCCTGGTGATGGCCACGAAGCCAGCCCCACTGCATTGCGGGGGCGGGTCCTGGGCTTTGCACGGCAGTCGCGTGCACTGCACCGATATGGAGCCCGGGTGGCATATGCAGTCCTGGCAGTCGCTGACCCACCGCTCCCCAGGCTGGAACAGAGCAGTTTGGGTCCCTGGAGACTCCTGGACCTTGCCCTGGCCTCTCAGGCTGTGTCCAACATACTGACCCCTCAGGATGGCCAGGTCGGCCCCTCACCTCCTGCTTGAGCTGCTGTCTCTGGAGCAGCCCACATGACAGGGAGGTGCCTCACACTGGGGTACCCCACACCAGCCACCCACAGGGGCTGCCCGGGCACAGGGGGCACTCTGCTCAAGCCAGGGGGCAGGTAGCTGGGGGCAGAACACTCACAGATTTGGGAAACCCATCTGGTCCCACGCAGGCTGGAAGGGAAGAAAAATGGAGGTCACTGGGCATGCTGGGGTCCCAGGCCCAGAGAGCAGAGACCACAGGCCCTGGGATGTGTCCTTGCAGGCCTGGCCACCCCCAACCCCGGCCAGGGCCTCTTCTTCCTGTTGGGGTCAAGGCCCTGGAGAACCCAGTGTCGTGGCCACACGGCACCCCCGGGGTGGACACTGGGCTGGGAGTGTGAGCCCCCAAGAGGGATGGTCCTAGGCTGCAGCCTTCCCACCCCAGGCCCTCCGCCTCATGCTCTGCAGCTCCGGGCAGGGCCGCGGTGGCTGGCTTACCGCACTCACGCACACAGACGTTTGTGTGCGTGTTGAAGAGGGTGTGTCCGTCAGGGCAGAAGCAGCCCTCTGCTAGCCCACTGCCTGCTCCGCTCTGGCTCCTGCAAGGCGAGGAGGGTATTCTTGGGACCCTCGATCCATAGACGTGGCCGTCCAAAGGGGAAGGGCAGAGTGCTGGGGTTGACCAGCTGCCCCGGGCCCAGAGTCAGGGGTCAGAGGCCAGGGTGGGGGGAGTGGAGCCCCTGAGATCTGAGGCTGGGGATCCCAGACCCTCCAGGCAGGCTTTACCTGAGGTCACAGGACGCAGGCTGTGCGGGGCCGCACGGCTGGTACACCTTGTCAGGCGGGCAGGTGAAATCTGGAGACACAGAGACAGAAGTCAGGTGGGCCAAGGAGGCTGGAGCCCCCGGGGCCACCCTGACTCACTGCACAGCCCGTCGGTGGCGTTCCTCCAGCTGCTGCACACGCCCCGGGCACGGCAGAGGGCTGCGTAGGCCTCTAGGCTCTGGCACAGCACCTGGGGCCGGTCGGGTTGGCAGCTGTCGCTGACACAGGAGCTGACGAATGGGCCAGGTGGGATGAGGTCATGGCACTCTGCGAAGACCCTGCGGGTGGAGGCGGTCAGAGGCTGGGGCTGAGGGTGAGTTGCTGCCCCAGAATTGCCAAACCCATGGGAGGGACTCACGGGCTCAGTATCAGTTCGCAGAGGGGCGCTGGGGGGCAGGGGGTGGGGGTGGGCGTGGTGGGTGCTGAGGGCAGGGTGCCTGCCGTCGGGGGTGGGCTGGTGGGTGCCCAGCAGTCCTCCCTGTTGCTCTCGGGGACCAGCCAGCTGAGGGCCATGTGCTGGCAGCTGGGGGCCATGGTGCCGTCTGGCTGGCGGCAGTCATCATTCTGGTTGTTGGTGCAGGTGCCTGGGGAGGCAGGGTGGCAGGGTCAGGCTGTGCAGGGTTCCTGGTGGAGAGCAGCTGGGGCCCGGGCGTCCCTGGCACCCACTCACCGCACTGGCCCTCGGTGTTGTGGCTGAAGTGGCTGTAGGACAGTCGGATCTGGAAGAGGTGCCCATCGAAGGTGATGTTCACGCCAATGGCAGGAATGTCGATGCCCATGGTGGTGGTCCCTGTCACAGACACACTCATGCCGTTCTTGCTGAAGCCGGAGCTCACTTGTATTTGGTCGAACAGGATCTGAGGATGTGCCGGGGGTGTTCATGACAGTGTGGTGGGGCAGCAGGGCCCACCTTTGGGGCTCTGCCTCCCAGGTGCTGGGGCCCCAGATCCTCGGCACCCCTTCCCCAAAGCGCAGATGCTCCCCTTGAGGCCTGGGGCCCTGGTTGGCCATGTTTGGATCCCTGAGTCATCCCTGTGTGCCCTTTACTCTGCCCAAGACCCCTTCGGGAGCCGACTTCCAGGCCTGCAGGCCTTCCCTGGTGATGCGGGACAGGGCCACTCACCAGGCTTTGCTCCTGCCCGCTGGCGTCGATGCTGATGGTGAGGATGACCTCTGTGGACTTGTAGTGGATGCTGAGGGCACGGGGACAGTGGGCAGTGGCTGCAGGGGCCCTGCAGTAGTAGTTGTTCATGTAGATGCTGAGGTTTCCATGCCGTGGGTGGATCTCCTTCATGAGCACATGGGTGCAGTTGTCCAGAAAGGAGTAGGAGGTGCCGTCGAAGGTGGTGTAGTGAGAGTCCCCCCAGCCTCTGCAGGAGCCTGCGGGACATGAACAGTCCCCTCACCCAGTGTCACCCCAACCTCACGGGAGCCACTCAGCTGCCCTGGGCCCCGGGTGCCTTTTCACATCAGGGATGTAGTGGGTTGCCGGGGGGCCCAGAGGCATGTCCACCCTGAGAACATGGCTTCATCCGGGAAACGGTCTTCTTGTCTGTAACTGAGTGAAGGACCTCAGGATGATGCCGTCCTGGGCTACCCAATGACAAGTATCCTTGCAAGAGAGAGAGGAGCTGCCACAGAACACAAGGCCATGGCTGGAAGCTTGTGGCCAACTATCCCAGGGACGCCTGGAGCCCCCAAAGCTGAAAAGGCAGGAAGGGCCCTCCCTGTGTCCTCCTGATGTTCTGACCCAGCCTGTGGTCCTTGCTTCCTCCCAGAACCGATGCCCAGCCATCCGGGGGCCAGGCCAGAAACGCTCCCAGCAGCAGCTCCAGGAGGAACACTCAGGAATCCCTGGGCTCCCATCTCCACTCCGACCCCCTGACCCAGGTCCCCCTCCCAGTGGCAGAGGCAGACGCGTGGGTGGGCTCGGCAGACCCAGGCCTTCTCCCTTCTGTGGTGGCCTGTTGCCAGCTCTGGCTGGCTCTGTGTGCCACAGCTCTGGCTCCCAGTGCACTCCCAATGCCCCTCTGCCCACAGCAGCCACCCTCACCCCGGCTTACACTCGCACTCGAAGTAGAAGTCACAGGGATCACTCTCTGACCACACTTTGACCGGTTGGTGCCCGTTCACACAGTGGATGCTGGGCACTGGTTTGCGCCCCAGGAGGATCACATGGTTGTAGCCTTCACACCGCGCCCTGGTGCAGTCTGACAGGGTCCAGGACTCGTTTACCTGGGAGAGAGCGGGCCTGGTGCTCACCGGCTGGGATCACGAGACGTGTCCCATGGCCCTGCCACATCCTGAGGTTCCTCATGCATGCCTGGGGCAGAGCGGCCCGGCGGCCTGGCCACCCCAGATGCCGTCCCAGCCCCAACCCCACGTGCCTTCCTCCAGCAGGAGCTAACTGTGCAGGGGTCATGGGGGCAGGGCTGGGCCCAGTGGGATCCCCAACCAAGCACACTGCAGAAATGGGCAGGGGGCAGAGGATGTACCTGTCGGGGAGGGACAATGAGGTCGCAAACCGCGGCTGGGGTGGTTGGGGACGTAGAGGCCGAGGACTCTGGGGGGGTAGAGACTGAGGACTCCCGGGGTGTAGAGACTGAAGACTCCGGGGGCGTAGAGGCTGAGGACTCCGGGGGCGAGGTGGTGGGGCAGGTGCCCTGGAAGCGGTCAATGTCACAGCGCTGGTTGCAGATGGCGTAGAAGTGGCAGCCTGCTCTGTCCGTCTTGTTGTAGACGACGTCCCCTGTGAGGAATCACCAAGGTGGACACGGCAGGGTCAGCTCAGGGGAGGGCGTGAGGTGGGGCACATCTGCTGACCAGCAGGAAGCCCAGGACACAGCCACCAGACCCAGGAATGGAGCACAGTGGCCAGGATATGCCGGGCTCTGCACTCACCAGGGGAGAAGAGCTGCCCAAACGCCTGGCAGAGGCAGCCAGTGGTGAAGTGGGAGCTGGGGGATGAGGCGGGCCTCGGGGTAGTGAGCACAGCGGAGGATACAGTGGACATGGTAACTGGTGGCAAGATGTGGGTGGTCTCTGGGGACAGGGAGGAGGCCGCAGAGAGGCGCACGGTGCTCCACGGAGAGCTGGTGGCCTCAGGCGTGGGGGGCGACAGGGAGGCTCTGGTGCTGGCTCCTGAGCTGGAGATGGCATGTGCTGTGCTGGGCAGTGTGCTGGGCTGTCCCGGCGAGGTCCCGGGGTGCCAGGTTGGGGACTCACTGCTGCGGGGGCGGCCTGTGGAGACCGTGGAAATGTGGAATATGGGCACGGAGGGGAAAACAGTGGTGGTCCTCGTGGTGGGCGTCACTGGCGTGCGGGGGGTCTGTGGTGCCGAAGAGGAGGCCGTGGAGGTGGAGGTGGCAGGGGGGCAGTGGCCATTGTCCTCACAGCACAGCAGGCGCACGTGGTAGTTGTGGCAGTAGCGCAGCGGCCCCGGCTGCTCCCGGTTGCGGCACACCAGCCCGAAGCTCACGTTGCACTGGACCACCTGCCCCAGGTCCTCCAGACGCGTGTCCGGCGCCTTCTCTGATCGGCACTGGATGTCCTGGGGGTGCTGGCAGAAGCTGAGGCCCGCTGAGCGGAAGACCGAGAAGGTCTCGAAGTCCCCGCCGTCCAGGCCTGGCACGGGGTAGTCCTCGTCGAACCAGTCTGTCCACGTGCACCGTGGGCTGCAGCCCGTGGAGGACGACGTGGCCAAGGTGTGTGTGCTGGAGCTGGGCTGTGGGGGCCTGGAGACCGACGTGGTCCCGAAGATGGATGTGCTGGCCGGGGACTTGGAGGAGATCCACCTGCTGGAGGTCACCACAGGGCCCGAGGTGGGGGCACTGGGTGAGGTGGGCTTGGTGATTGTGGTGGGCAACCTCGGGGAGGCAGACGGACTGAGGCTGGAGACCCTCTCTGTGGTCCTGGCAGGGGTAGGAAGGGTCTGGGTGGTAGAGACAGAGACCCTCTGGGAGGTCCCTGGGGAAGAGGGGCCTGTCTGGGTAGTGGACACGGTGAGTCTCTGGGAGGTCACAGGGGAAGAGGGGCCTGTCTGGGTGGTGGATGCAGTGACCCTCTGGGAGGTCGCTGGGGAAGAGGGGCCTGTCTGGATGGTGGACACGGTGAGTCCCTGGGAGGTCGCAGGGGAAGAGGGGCCTGTGTGGGTGGTGGACACAGTGACCCCCTGGGAGGTCCCTGGGGAAGAGGGGCCTGTCTGGGTGGTGGACGCAGTGACCCTCTGGGAGGTCCCTGGGGAAGAGGGGCCTGTCTGGGTAGTGGACACGGTGAGTCTCTGGGAGGTCGCAGGGGAAGAGGGGCCTGTGTGGGTGGTGGACACAGTGACCCCCTGGGAGGTCCCTGGGGAAGAGGGGCCTGTCTGGGTGGTGGACACGGTGACCCCCTGGGAGGTCCCAGGGGAAGAGGGGCCTGTCTGGGTAGTGGACACGGTGAGTCCTCTGGGAGGTCGCAGGGGAAGAGGGGCCTGTCTGGTGGTGGATGCAGTGACCCTCTGGGAGGTCCCTGGGGAAGAGGGCCTGTCTGTGTAGTGGACACGGTGAGTCTCTGGGAGGTCGCAGGGGAAGAGGGGCCTGTCTGGGTGGTGGATGCAGTGACCCTCTGGGAGGTCCCTGGGGAAGAGGGGCCTGTCTGGGTAGTGGACACGGTGAGTCTCTGGGAGGTCGCAGGGGAAGAGGGGCCTGTGTGGGTGGTGGACACAGTGACCCCCTGGGAGGTCCCTGGGGAAGAGGGGCCTGTCTGGGTGGTGGACACGGTGACCCCCTGGGAGGTCCCTGGGGAAGAGGGGCCTGTCTGGGTAGTGGACACGGTGAGTCTCTGGGAGGTCGCAGGGGAAGAGGGGCCTGTGTCGGTGGTGGACACAGTGACCCTCTGGGAGGTCGCAGGGAAGAGGGGCCTGTCTGGGTGGTGGAAGTAGTGACCCCCTGGGAGGTCCCTGGGGAAGAGCGGCCTGTCTGGGTGGTGGATGCAGTGACCCTCTGGGAGGTCCCTGGGGAAGAGGGGCCTGTCTGGGTGGTGGATGCAGTGACCCTCTGGGAGGTCCCTGGGGAAGAGGGGCCTGTCTGGGTAGTGGACACGGTGAGTCTCTGGGAGGTCGCAGGGGAAGAGGGGCCTGTCTGGATGGTGGACACAGTGACCCCCTGGGAGGTCCCTGGGGAAGAGGGGCCTGTCTGGGTGGTAGATGCAGTGACCCTCTGGGAGGTCCCTGGGAAGAGGGGCCTGTCTGGGTGGTGGACACGGTGAGTCTCTGGGAGGTCGCAGGGGAAGAGGGGCCTGTCTGGGTGGTGGATGCAGTGACCCCCTGGGAGGTCGCAGGGGAAGAGGGGCCTGTCTGGATGGTGGACACAGTGACCCCCTGGGAGGTCCCTGGGAAGAGGGGCCTGTCTGGGTGGTGGACACAGTGACCCCCTGGGAGGTCCCTGGGGAAGAGGGGCCTGTCTGGATGGTGGATGCAGTGACCCCCTGGGAGGTCCCTGGGGAAGAGGGGCCTGTCTGGGTGGTGGACGCAGTGACCCTCTGGGAGGTCCCTGGGGAAGAGGAGCCTGTCTGGGTGGTGGATGCAGTGACCCTCTGGGAGGTCGCAGGGGAAGAGGGCCTGTCTGGATGGTGGATGCAGTGATCCTCTGGGAGGTCAGTGGGGAAGAGGGGCCTGTCTGGAAGGTGGACACAGTGGCCTTCTCGGTGTCTCAGGGAAGAGGGGCCTGTCTGGAAGGTGGACACAGTGGCCTTCTCGGTTGTCCCAGGGAAGAAGGGCCTGTCTGGGTGGTGGACGTCGTGACCCCCTGGGAGGTCCTTGGGGAAGAGGGGCCTGTCTGGATGGTGGACGCAGTGGCCTTCTCAGTTGTCCCAGGGGAGGAAGAGCCTGTCTGTGTGGTGGACACAGTGGTCCCCTGGGTGCTTCCTGGGGAGGAGCGGCCTGTCTGGATGGTGGACGCAGTGACCCTCTTGGAGGTCCCTGGGGAAGAGAGGCCTGTCTGGGTGGTGGATAGAAGAACGCTCTTGGTTGTCACTGGGGAAGAGGGGCCTGTGTGGGTGGTGGATGTAGTGACCCCCTGGGAGGTCCCTGGGGAAGAGGGGCCTGTCTGAATGGTAGACTCAGTGACCCCATGGGTGGTTTCTGGGGAAGAGGGGCCTGTCTGGGTGGTGGATGCAGTGACCCTCTGAGACGTCCCTGGAGAAGAGGGGCTTGTCTCGGTAGTAGACACAAGGACCCTTTTGGTTATCCCTGAGGAAGAGGGCCCTGTCTGGATGGTAGACACAGTGACCTCATGGGTGGTTCCTGGGGAAGAGGGGCCTGTCTGGGTGGTGGATGCAGTGACCTTCTCAGTTATCCCTGAAGATGGGACTGTTTGGATGGTGGACACAGTGACCTTCTTGGTTGTCCCTGGAGAAGAGGGGCCTGTCCGGGTCGTGGACACAGTGATCCCCTCAGTGGTCCCAAAGGAAGAAGGAAAGGTCTGGGTAGTGGACGTAGGGACCCTCTGGTTGGTCCTGGGGGAGGAAGGGAGGGTGGCCGTGGTCGGTAGCCAGGTAACCCCCGGTGAGCTTTGACCTGTGCTGCTGGTTGTACTGAAGACTTTAGGGGACGTCGAGGGCACCGTGGAGGTGGTGGTGGCAGAGGGGCAGTGGCCATTGTCCTCACAGCACAGCAGGCGCACGTGGTAGTTGTGGCAGTAGCGCAGCGGCCCCGGCTGCTCCCGGTTGCGGCACACCAGCCCGAAGCTCACGTTGCACTGGACCACCTGCCCCAGGTCCTCCAGACGCGTGTCCGGCGCCTTCTCTGATCGGCACTGGATGTCCTGGGGGTGCTGGCAGAAGCTGAGGCCCGCTGAGCGGAAGACCGAGAAGGTCTCGAAGTCCCCGCCGTCCAGGCCTGGCACGGGGTAGTCCTCGTCGAACCAGTCTGTCCACGTGCACCGTGGGCTGCAGCCCGTGGAGGACGACGTGGCCAAGGTGTGTGTGCTGGAGCTGGGCTGTGGGGGCCTGGAGACCGACGTGGTCCCGAAGATGGATGTGCTGGCCGGGGACTTGGAGGAGATCCACCTGCTGGAGGTCACCACAGGGCCCGAGGTGGGGGCACTGGGTGAGGTGGGCTTGGTGATTGTGGTGGGCAACCTCGGGGAGGCAGACGGACTGAGGCTGGAGACCCTCTCTGTGGTCCTGGCAGGGGTAGGAAGGGTCTGGGTGGTAGAGACAGAGACCCTCTGGGAGGTCCCTGGGGAAGAGGGGCCTGTCTGGGTAGTGGACACGGTGAGTCTCTGGGAGGTCCAGGGGAAGAGGGGCCTGTGTGGGTGGTGGACACAGTGACCCACTGGGAGGTCGCAGGGGAAGAGGGGCCTGTCTGGGTGGTGGACACAGTGACCCCTGGGAGGTCGCTGGGGAAGAGGGGCCTGTCTGGGTGGTGGACACAGTGACCCCCTGGGAGGTCCCTGGGGAAGAGGGGCCTGTCTGGGTAGTGGACACGGTGAGTCTCTGGGAGGTCCTGGGGAAGAGGGGCCTGTTGGGTGGTGGACACAGTGACCCTCTGGGAGGTCGCAGGGGAAGAGGGGCCTGTCTGGGTGGTGGACACAGTGACCCCCTGGGAGGTCGCAGGGGAAGAGGGGCCTGTCTGGGTGGTGGACACAGTGACCCCCTGGGAGGTCCCTGGGGAAGAGGGGCCTGTCTGGGTGGTGGACACAGTGACCCCCTGGGAGGTCCCTGGGGAAGAGGGGCCTGTCTGGGTGGTGGATGCAGTGACCCTCTGGGAGGTCCCTGGGGAAGAGGGGCCTGTCTGGATGGTGGATCAGTGGCTTCCCGGTTGTCCCGGGGAAGAGGGGCCTGTCTGGGTGGTGGACGCAGTGAGCCTCTTGGAGGTCCTTGGGGAAGAGGGGCCTGTCTGGGTAGTAGATATAAGGACTTGTTTGGTTATCTGTGGGGAAGAGGGGCTTGTCTCTGTGGTGGACACAGTGATCCCCTGGGAGGTCACTGGGGGAGAGGGGCCTGTCTGGGTGGTGGACGCTGTGAGCCTCTGGGAGGTCACTGGGGAAGAAAGGCCTGTCTGGATGGTGGATGTGGCGACCCCCTGGGAGGTTGCAGGGGAAGAGGGGCCTGTCTGGATGGTCGACACAGTGGCCTTCTCGGTTGTCCCAGGGGAAGAGGAGCCTGTCTGGATGGTGGACGTGGCGACCCCCTGGGAGGTCCCTGGGGAAGAGGCGCCTGTCTGGGTGGTGGACGCAGTGACCTTCTGGGAGGTCCCTGGGGAAGAGGGACCTGTCTGGGTGGTAGAAACAAGGACCTTCTTGGTTATCCCTGGGGAAGAGGGGCCTGTTTGGGTGGTGGACACAGTGACCCCCTGGGTGGTCCATGGGGAAGAGGGGACTGTCTGTGTGGTAGACACAGTGACCTTCTCGGTTGTTCCTGAAGAAGAGGGGCCTGTCTGGATGGTGGACGTAGTGACCCCCTGGGAGGTCCCTGGGGAAGAGGGGACTGTCTGGATGGTGGACACAGTGGCCTTCTCGGTTGTCACTGGGGAAGAGGGGCCTGTCTGGGTGGTCGATGCAGTGATCCTCTGGGAGGTCACTGGGGAAGAGAGGCCTGTTTCACTGGTAGATATAAGGGCCCTTTTGGTTATCTGTGGAGAAGAGGGGCCTGTCTGGATGGTGGACACAGTAACCCCCTGGGTACTCCTTGGGGAAGCAGAGCCTGTCTGGGTGGTGGACGCAGTGACCCTCGGGGTCCTGGGAAGAGGGCTGTCTGTGGTGGACCAGTGCCTCTGGGTCCTGAAGAGGGGCCTGTCTGGGTGGGACAGTGACTCGGGTCCTGGGGAGGGGCTGTCGGTGGGACACAGTGGCCTTCTCGGTTGTCCCTGAAGAAGAGGGGCCTGTCTGGGTCGTGGACATAGTGACCCCCTGGGAGGTCCCTGGGGAAGAGGCGCCTGTCTGCCTGGTGGACACAAGGACCCTCTTGGTTGTCCCAGTGGAATAGGCGGCTGTCTGGGTGGTGGACACAGTGACCCCCTGCGTGGTCTCTGGGGAAGAGGGGACTGTTTGGATGGTGGACACAGTGACCTTCTTGGTTGTCCCTGGAGAAGAGGGGCCTGTCCGGGTCGTGGACACAGTGATCCCCTCAGTGGTCCCAAAGGAAGAAGGAAAGGTCTGGGTAGTGGACGTAGGGACCCTCTGGTTGGTCCTGGGGGAGGAAGGGAGGGTGGCCGTGGTCGGTAGCCAGGTAACCCCTGGTGAGCTTTGACCTGTGCTGCTGGTTGTACTGAAGACTTTAGGGGACGTCGAGGGCGCCGTGGAGGTGGTGGTGGCAGAGGGGCAGTGGCCATTGTCCTCACAGCACAGCAGGCGCACGTGGTAGTTGTGGCAGTAGCGCAGCGGCCCCGGCTGCTCCCGGTTGCGGCACACCAGCCCGAAGCTCACGTTGCACTGGACCACCTGCCCCAGGTCCTCCAGACGCGTGTCCGGCGCCTTCTCTGATCGGCACTGGATGTCCTGGGGGTGCTGGCAGAAGCTGAGGCCCGCTGAGCGGAAGACCGAGAAGGTCTCGAAGTCCCCGCCGTCCAGGCCTGGCGTGGGGTAGTCCTCGTCGAACCAGTCTGTCCACGTGCACCGTGGGCTGCAGCCCGTGGAGGACGACGTGGCCAAGGTGTGTGTGCTGGAGCTGGGCTGTGGGGGCCTGGAGACCGACGTGGTCCCGAAGGTGGATGTGCTGGCCGGGGACTTGGAGGAGATCCACCTGCTAGAGGTCACCACAGGGCCCGAGGTGGGGGCACTGGGTGAGGTGGGCTTGGTGATTGTGGTGGGCAACCTCGGGGAGGCAGACGGACTGAGGCTGGAGACCCTCTCTGTGGTCCTGGCAGGGGTAGGAAGGGTCTGGGTAGTGGATTCTGAGACCCTCTGGGGGGTCCCTGGGGAAGAGGGGCCTGTCTGGGTGGTGGACGCAGTGACCCCCTCGGTGGTCCCAAAGGAAGAAAGAAAGGTCTGTGTGGTGGAGGTAGGGACCCTCTGGGTGGTCCTGGGGGAGGAAGGGTGGGTGGCCGTGGATTTCAGCCCAGTAACCTCTGGTGATTTTTGGCTTGTGCTGGTGCTGATGCTGGTGCTAATGCCGGTGCTGGTGGTGGTAGGCTGGGGTCTGGGTGAGCTGACGCAGTTGCTGTCCTCCTCACAGCAGAGTACGCGGATGTGGTAGTTGAGGCAGGGCCGGCCCCCCTCTGCCGGTTGTTTCTGCAGATGAGCCCATAGCTCACGTCACAATACACCACCTGGTCCAGCTGCTCCAGGGGTGTGTCTGGGTAGAGCACCGCCTGGCACTCGATGGCCTCGGGCTCCTCACAGAGCTGGCCACCGGCATCCTGGATGTGGTAGTAGGTTTCAATGTCACCCCCGTAGCGACCGGGCAGGGGTTGGTCACTGTCCATCCATTTGGTCCAGCGGCAGGTGGGCTGGCAGGTGGAGGTGGCCACAGTTTGGCCAGTGCTGGGGGCCATAGGACTGGGGGTCATTGGAGGTTGGACAGTGGTGCTGGTGGCCAGTGTGGGGGTCAGACCTGGGCTGGTGCCCTGCGGGCTCACCACGGTGGTGGCCAGGGTGCTGGCACAGTGGCTGTAGTCCTCACAACAGAGCACTCGGATTTTGTAGTTGAGGCACATCTTGAGCCGGTCGTCCTGGTCCTGATTGCGGCAAACCAGGCCCTCCGGCAGCCCACAGTGCACCACCTGGCCCAGCATCTCCAAGGTGTTGTCAGACAGGGTCACTGCACGACACTGCAGGTCAAGTGGCTGCTTGCAGATGGCTTTGCCGTCTGCCCGGATGTTGGTGTAGGTCTCAAATTCCCCACCAGACACCCCTGGCGTCGGGTAGCTCTCATCTATCCAGTCCGTCCAAGCACAGCGGGGTTCACAGGCTGTGGACCCGGCCACTGGGGAGGTGGGGCTCTGGGTGTGGCTGGAAGTGACAAGTAGGGAGGTCTGGGTCTTGCCTGTGGGTGCTGTGGCCCTGGATGTGCCCGCGGAGAGACGTATGGTGGTGCTCCACGGAGAGCTGGTGGCCTGAATTGTGGGGGGCGATGGGGAGGCTCTGGTGCCAGGCCCTGTGCTGGAGGTGGCCTGTGCTGTGCCGGGCAGCGTGGTGGGCTGTCCAGGCGAGGTCTTGGGGTGCCAGGTTGGGGACTCACTGCTGCGGGGGCTGCCTGTGGAGACCCGGGTGATGGGCACGGAGGGGAAGATAGTGGTGGCCATGGTGGTGGGGGTCACTAGGGTGCGGGTGGTCTGCGGGGCTGGCGAGGGGGCTGTGGAGGTGGCCTCAGGGGAGGAGGCATAGGTCTGAATGGACGGTGTGGTCGAGGTGGTGCTTGGGGCAGCCGTGCTGAGGGTGACCGTGCTGGGAGCAGCTGTGCTGGGGCAGTGCGGGGACGGGTGGCAGCAGAGCACTCGGACATTGTAGTTGAAGCACATGTTGAAGGGCCCCTTCTGGTCCTGGTTCCTGCAGATCAGCCCTGTGTGCAGGCTGCAGGTGAGCACCTGTCCAATCTGGTCGATGCTGACCTCGGGGTAGTTCTCTGCCCGGCACTGGATGCGCTGGGGCTCCTGGCACAGCGTGCCCCCAGCAATCCTGATGTTCTCAAAGGTCTCCATGTCCCCACCCTCGACCCCTGAGGTTGGAAAGTCCACGTCAAACCAGTCTGTCCACTCGCACTGGGGCTGACAGCCGGTCGTGCCCTGGCTGCTGGTGGCCTCGGTGGTGGCAGTCACCAGGGTTTCCAGGGATGTCTTTGCTCTTGTTGTGTGCATCTCAGTGTGTGAGGTGGACAGGGGGCCAGTGGAGACAGTGCCTGTTGTGGGAGTCATGAGGATCTGCGTGGTCCCCGACACTGGGGTGGGTCCACTTGAGGGGCCTCCCGTGGATCTCAGCGGTGGTGTCTGTGTCGGTGGCTGGGGCGTGGGCTGCTCGCAGTGGTCACGGCTACAGCAGAACACGCGGATCCTGTAGTTGTAGCACATCTTGAAGAGGCCCACCTGCTCCTGGTTCCTGCACACCAGGCCGAAGCTGGCGTCACAGTGCACGCGCTGGCCCAGCGACTCAGGGCTCCTGCCGGGGAAGTTCTCGGCCTGGCACTCGATGTCCTGAGGCTGTTCGCACACGGCCCCTCCTGCACTCCGGATCCTGTCGTAGGACTCGACGTCCCCACCGGCCTCCTCGGACTTGGGGTAGTCCTCATCGAACCACTCCGTCCACTGGCACCGGGGCTGACAGGAGGTGGTCGCCAAGGTTGCGGAGCTGCTCGGTGCCCAGGTCCCTGTTGTGGTGGGCTCGGCAGGTGGGGTCTGCGTGCGGGGGGTGGGCAGGGACTCGGTCGGAGTCTGCAGGCTGATGGTGCCAGGGGAGGTGCCGCAGGGCACGTAGTCACAGCAGAGGACCCGCACCTCGTAGTTGTGGCAGAGTGGGGGGCTCTGCTCAGCATTGAGGCACGTCAGCCCCTGGGCCACGTCACACTCCACCTTCTGGCCCAGCTGCTGAAGTGGGGTGTCAGGGAGCCCCTGTGCTCGGCACTCGATGCTCGCCGGGGCTGGGCAGACCTGGTGACCGCTCTGCCTCAGGTTCGCAAACGTCTCAAAGTCTCCACCTGCCATGCCAGGCTCCGGGCGGCCGCTGTCGTACCAGTCAGACCAGAGGCAGCGCTCGCGCACACACACGGTGGGGAAGGTGGTGCCTGAGCCTGGGGTGGGGGGCAGGGACCACCTCAGTCTCCTCTGCACCCTTGCCAGCCATGCCCAGGAGCGGGGGCTGAGCGGGGCCATCGGTTACCCCTGGGACACCCACCCTGACCTCCGCTCTGCCCAGACCATTGCCCAGGATCGGGGGTCGGGGGTCGGGAGACGGAGGCAGAACCTGAGCAGCGTGTCCGCCAGGCTCACCTGTCGTGGAGAGCGGGGCCGCGGTGGTGGTGAAGGTGAAGGGAGTTGTGGAGGGTGTCCCGGGACATTCCATGGTCCTCCGAATTATCCTTCCTTCGTGTCCGCAGATGGCAATCAGGCAGGCACCCAGCCCGTCCGTGGTGTTGTAGATGACGTCCTCGTAGTGGTAGGTCTGGCCCTCATAGACGCACGTGCAGGCTGGGAGACGGGGAGGCATGGCCCTCACTCGGAGCCCCCGGCCCCCAGCGCCCAGCCCCTCCACCCGTGTGGGGCCCCTCAGCCTTACCTTCGAGGCTGTGCGTGCAGCGGAGGCCGCCGGCCGTGCATTCACTGGGGAGGAGGACAGGGGAGAGCTGAGGGCCCGCCCGGCCGGGCCGGCACCCACTCCCAGGCTCCCCCACCCACTCACCAGCTCTGGCAGTTCTCTGCCGCGGGGACCCTCGCGCCCACGTCGTGGTAGTTCCCGTCCTCGTCATAGCAGCCGCACTGGGCCACGCACTTCATCTGGTCCTCGCTGAAGAACGGCTCACTGGGTGGGCACCTGGGGTAGCAGCCTGGGCGGGCGCAGTGCACGGGGAGACTCACCCTAGTGGCCACTGCTGGTGCTGCCGGGTGGCCGCCCCGCCGCCCGTGCGCCTCCCTGCCTCTCACCTTCCAGGCCCGGCAGGTCCATCTGGCAGCGCCCACTGGGGTTCCGGCAGGTCTTCATGCAGGGCGCCCCGCACGGCTGGTAGTGCCACTCACAATGGCCCTCACGGTTGTAATAGTCGCAGAACAAGGCTGAGCACAGAGGGGAGAGGCTGAGCGTGCACCCCTTCCTTCCCGCCCTGCCCTCAGAATGCGGGTCCCTCATGAGCCCTCCCATCCCGGCTGGTCCGTAGGCGCACAGATGCGGGGCACGCCCATGGGCCCCTGGGCGCCCGGGGTTGCGTGCTCACCATGTGTGGTTCAGGCCCCACCCCTGCACCCGCCCTTCTTCCCTGTGGCAGGGCCCCACTCACGGCAGATGTCCGGGGTCCTCCAGGACACACACACGCCCACGTCACGGCAGGCCTGGGCGTAGGCAGCCACGGCCGTGCAGAGGCACTCACAGTCGCCCCCCAAGTCGCAGGCACATGCATCGCCCACACAGGCCTCATAGTACTTGGTGGGGTCGACCTGGGGGGAGTGAGGAGTAGGGAGGGTCCACTCAGCAAGCGGTCAGGAGAGCGCAGGAGCTGGCCGCATGCGGCACCCCACCTCTGCTGTCTGAGACCCATGACTCCCACCCACCTGGGCACCGTCACTCGTGTCCCTCACCTCCTCTCTCATCACATCTGTGGTTACAGATGGCCCTCCCCACAGCCGTGTCGTGACCCTGCCTGTCTCCTTGGGATGAGGGGGCAGCACCCCAACCACACTGCCCGGGAGCACCAGAGCCCAGAGCGGGTCTGCCATCAGACCGTTCCTCCTACACTGCCCGCACATGCCCGGCAAGTCCGGAATCATGAGACTGTGCTTGTGAGTGGGCACTGGGGTCCGTGTTGAAGTCACAGGAGGCCGGGGAATGAGGGTAGGACAGGGGGGTGATGCGGGGTCTGTGTGGCCCAGAGCCCCACTTCTGCGTCATTAAGGAGAGCCGTGGACCCCCGGGCAGTGCTCGTGGCACACCGTTCAGACCTCCCACCTGGCAGGCACCCATGTCAAGTCTGAGCTCGGGGGCCCAGGCCAGGCCAGACCCAGTTCTGCCCAGGAGGGAAGGAGGCTCCCCAGCCCGCCAGCCCCCCAGGTCCGGCCCCCACTCCTCAGCCCACCTGAGAATGGCAGGCGGCGAACGTGGCGCTGTTGATGATGCTGCACTGCTTCTGAGACCAGGACTTGCGGTAGGGGTTGGCAGTGCAGGAGTCCCTGGGGGCTGGGGCGTCAGGGCAGGACGGGGAGAATTTCCAGCTGTTGCCAAACTCCAGGGCGCTGCCCACCACGGACTGGCTCCGCGTGGTGAAGTCATTGACACCTTTGTCGTCAAAGTTCCCGCACAGCCCGCAGACCCGGCCCTGCAGACGGGGGCACGGGAGTCACTGTGTGCGGGGTTGCAGGGGGCAGGCTGAGGGGGCAGCGCCTAGCCCAGCCTGGGAGGGGGGACTACAGGCAGTGCCCTGTGAACTTGCAGGAGAACGGGGTGCACAGTTGGTCCTACGGCAAGCAGGGGAGTAGGCGGACAGGTGGACAGGTGGGCAGATGGGTCTGGGCAGGTGAGCAGGTGGGTAGGTGAGCAGCTGGGCAGGCAGACAGGTGGGCAGACGGGGCTGCACGAATAGGTAGGTGGGCAGGTGGGCAGGCAGACAGGTGAGAAGATTGGGGGCTGCGTTGTTGGGCAGGCGAGCAGCTGTGCAGATGAGCAGGTGGGCAGGCAGGCAGGTGGGCAGATGGACAGATCCAGGGGGCACAGGGGTACCAGAGAGCAAGAACAGTACTGTAACCAGGACTCTGCCAGTTGGATGGTTTGGTCTCAACACACCCCTTTGAGATGTGGGAGTCGTGAGTGGACTCACCCCAGCCCTGAGCAGACTGTCAGCTGCCAGATGGTCCCCTCAGGGCCAGACCTAGGAGTAGGGGCTCTGACCCTGCCTGAAGGGGCCCACGGCCCATCCATTCTCACCTTGTAGTCCTGCCGCAGCCGGATGAATACGCTTGTCTTTCGGTCCCAGGACAGCAGCACGCCACTCTGAGTCTCCACAGTCAGGTAGATGCCTGTGTACCGGACCTTGTAGGGCAGGCCTCTGCCCGGGCCCCGCTGCACCACCTTGTAGGTGCCCTCGTGCAGGATCAGCTCGTAGTTCTGCAGAGGGACACGTGGACAGGTGGCTGCAGGTCTGAGGGGCCAGCTTGGGGGCGAGGGCCCCACCGGTGGTCAGGGACTGGTGTCAACCATGGGCTGGGCTGGCTCCTGACACTGCCCATAAACATGAGGCAAGAGGCTGAGCGGGGTGTGCTGGGAGCCTGGGGAGGCCACGGGGAAAGTCGGGGCTACGGGTAAGTGGAGCTGATCCCCGGGAGTAGCAGTGTGGCTCCCTGCCTGGTGAACTCTGACCTCCCTCTGTTGGAATTGGGCCCCACATGTGGTGGGTGGAACGCAGACCCCCACAAGGTAGATGCACATCCAGCCCCTGGAACCTTTGAATGCCACCTTGTTTGGAAAAAGGGTCTCCGCAGGGGTCAGTGAGGAATGAGCTCATCCCGGATCAGAGTGGGCCTCAGTCCAAACACAGGTGTCCCTGGGAGAGGTGGGGCGGGCCCGTGGGGGAGGGGCCGATGCAGCCCCCGGTGCAGCCCTAGGACATACAGCTGGAGGGTGGGAGGTGGGAGGGCCCCTGGTGGCCCCTCACCTCCAGGAACAGCTTGATGGCCTTGGAGCAGGTGACACCTGTGGTCCCGCAGGGGACGTTCTCGGTGACCACGCGGAAGGTCCCGTTGGCGGTGCCATTCCCACCACAGTGGTCCTGGGACACGGAGGGGTCAGGCTGAGCTCATGGCCCCAGGGGCTGGAGGGCCAAGGACAGGGGCACAGAGGGGGCACCCCCACGTACCTGGGCCAGTGTGTACTCGCAGCTCCCTTCGAAGCTGTAGCGCTCCCCATCAAAGGTGATGAAGTGGCCGTCCCCATAGGCCACGCAGGTGCCCAGGCATGGCTTGTGGCTGCACTCCCACCTGCGGTTCCTGCACGTGCTGTGAGGATAGTGGACAGTGTGCTCGTGGCTGCAGGCCCAGGACCTGGCCTTCCCTGCTCTCCAGGGGGGCTCAGCAAAGGGGTGAGTGTGTGTGCCCGCCTGTCACCCATCTGTCACCTGCCGGCCTCTGGTTTCCAAGCCTGTGCGGGGCTTTCCCAGGGTGGGGGTCATGGCAGTCCCAGGCCCCTCCCTACCTCCTGCAGAGGAGCCCCGACCCACCAGGTGTTGCAGGCGACCTTGATGGTCTCCCCGGGCTTGTAGGCAGCCTCGTTGTGCAGACACGGGCAGTCCTCCTCGGCCACACAACCCCCGCTCCCGTCCGACACCAGCCCCGGGGGGCACACGCAGCCAGATACGCAGTGGGTGCTGAACTGTGGATGGGCACAGCGTCAGCACCCGCCCTGCCCTGTGCCCGGGGTCCCAGAGGGACCACACGCCCTCGCCGGCCACTCACACAGTCCACGTCCAGCGTGTGGCAGCTCCTGAGACACTCGGCCCCCGGCGTGCCTGCCGAGGCGTTGTTGCAGTCCAGGTACACCATGGGGGCCGTGCATCCTGTGGATGGAGGCAGCTGAGCGGGCATGTGATGGGCCCCCCAGGAGCCCTCCCTGCCTCACCCGGGGAGCCCTCCCCACCACCCCCTGGCCCTGGGCGCAGTGGGGAGGCCGTACCTGAGCTCTTCTGCTCTGCTGCTCCCAGGCAACTTAGCTTCCCACCCGCACACGAACTGTGAGAGAGACAGACCGCCTTGTCGGGGTCCACTGCCCACCCAGCGCTCCGCAGACCCCACACACGCCCTTCCTGGGCGCTGGACCCTCAGAACCCTCTCCCAGGCCAGGGAGGAGGAAAGCAAACTTCCGTCCCCCGGGCCCCCCCTTGTGTTTCACCATCTTCCCAGGGAAGGGGGGGCCCAGGGATCTTTGGGAGTGATGCAGGGGGGCGAGACCAGGATAAAGGGCAGTGCCGTGGGGAGGGGCTTGGGCCCAGCTGGCCCCTTACCACACCACGCCGTTGTCGTGTACCACCTCCCCCGGAGCCACCACAGAGCTATGGAAGTAGCAGGGGCAGGCCTCGGCGGACACACAAGCACCCGCATCATCCAGGAAGGTGCCCGAGGGGCAGACGCAGCCATCCACGGGAACGAAGGAGACACCGCAGGTGACGTCCACCTGGCTCAGAGCGCGGCAGGTGGGCTGGCAGCTCTCCACCACATACGTGTAGTTCTGGGACTTGGGGCAGCTGCTCATATACTTGGCTAGGGGCAAGGGAGGTGCTCAGTCAGTGGCTGGAGGCCCCCTCCATGCTGGGGTTTAAACAGCCTGAGACTCAGTTTCCCCTCTGACACTCAGGGGTCATCGGAGCACCAGGTCCTTGGTTAGTCTGGTCAAGGAAGCGTGAAGCTCTGGCGGAGAAGGTGTGGGTGGGTGCATGTGCCCCCGGGGCCCCCAGCGCCCTGCCCACCCCCTCCTGGGCACAGAGTGGCCTGGGGACACTCACTGCACACGCCATCCCTCCAGCTGCTGAGCAGCACCCCCTTGGTGGCGCAGGCATGCACATAGGAGGACAGGGCCGCACACAGGCAGTCCTCGCTCTTCTCACAGTTACACGTGTCGAACATGCAGTTCTGGGGATGGGGATGCAGGGGCCATCAGGGACCCCCGCCCGCCCAGGCCCCTGCTCTCCCCATGAGTCCTTCCTGGGACCCCCACCTGGGCTCGGAGCTCCACCCTGAGGATGGACAGCAAGCGGTGGGGGGTTCGCAGATGCCCCCAGGAAAGCCAGCTTGGACACTAAGTGACTGCAGTTGGGGTCAGGGAGGGGACAGCAAGAAGGCACGGAGCTGGGCCAAGGTCAAGGTCACAAGGGGTCTCCACAGGACCAGGGCAGGGGTGGGCCTGGGCCTTCCACCTCCTGACACACCTCCCTAGGGACTTGAGCTTCTGGGAAAGTGGCCCGTGAGCCAACTGTTGTGGGTTGGGTCATGTCCCCCCAAAAGACATGCAGAAGCTCTAATGTCCAGGGCCTAAGGAAATGACCTTATTGAAAATAGGATCTTTGCAGATGTGATGAAGATTGGGTTGTAGGGATGGGCCCCAAATTATGACACAAATGCAGGGGAGGGGCCGAGACCATGTGGCAGTGGAGGCAGTGGTACCGGGAGCCCCGAGACGCTGGGAGACCCAGGAGGAGGGCACGGCCCTGCACACACCTTGCTTTAGGACTTTGTCCTCCAGAACTGGGACAGAAGCGATTTCTCTAGTTTTTAGCAACCTAGCGTGTGTTCCTTTGTTACAACAACGACTACACCCACAGTGGCCATGCTGATGGTCCAGAGTAGCCCAGGGGAGGACTGACCAAGCAGTGCACCATGCCGTGGGGCGTCCTCAAGACGGGGAACCCGCAGGGAGGCTGGGGGACAGTCCAGGTGGGGCAGGGGGTCTCACCAAGTGGAAGGGCGCAGGGTTGAGGATAGAGTGGCAGCGTGAGAAGGCTCCGGCCGGGTCGGTCAGCAGGGAGCACCAGTGCCGAGCATAGTTCTCTGGAACAGGGGAAGCAAACTGGCTGGCTGCCCACCACTGGCACAGCTCCTCCCTTACTCCCACCCCCCTGGCAGCCTCCACTCCTGTGCCTAGGCCCTGGGGGCCCCACGGCCCCAGCAGAGCTGTGTTGGAACTTGGGGCTCACCGACATGCCGACAGGGCAACAGGGTGCTCTCCCCAGAGATGAGCCCCAGACCCTGCCACCTGCACACACGCCTGGACGTCAGGGCTCCCCCAGGCCCGTGCGCCCCAGGGCCCTGGGAGACGGGAGGCTTGGGCTCCCAGGCCCGGCCCGGTGAAGGGAGGGTCCGGGGGGTCACCGGCACCCACATACCGTTCTCCACGCTGAGGGAGCAGGGGTCCTCAAAGCTGTTCTTGACGTTGGGGCAGGCGGCCTGGGTCTTCCAGGTGTTGGCGAATGCGGCAGCTGTGCCCTCCACCACGCCGCTGAGGGCGCGGAAGTCATCGGCCTGGTTCTGGTTGAAGTTCCCACACAGGCCTGGGGGTCAGGGCCCAGGGATGTGTTGTCAGTGGGGCAGCCAGCCTGGCCATCCCGCCTGCCTGGTGGTCCCTCTAGAGACCAGCACAAGGTGCACTGGCCAGAGAGCCCCATCCCGGGATCGAGGTGCAGAGCCATCTGCACATGAGCCCTGGTGGGGCTCAGGCCCTGTGCAGAGCCTGCCCTGTAAGGTCAGCTCCCTGGGGCCATAGGTTGGATATGGGGTGCCCTGGGTGGTGCAGGGGTCTCCACCGTGCCCTGGGAGCAGCCCCCTCCCAGCCCATCCTGCCAGCCTCACCGCACATCTGTCCCTGGTAGGAGGGGTCCAGCCTGAGGAACACCTGCATGAGGGGTACCAGCTGTACTTGCAGCTGCAGCCCGAGGCCCGTGTGTACCAGGATGAAGAAGGAGGTGGGCCTGAACACGGTGATGTTGGCTGCAGGGATGGGGGTGAAATCAGAGTCTGCACAGAGGCCAGGCCTCGCCAGACAGAGCCTCCTTGTTCCTGGGACACCCCAGGAGGTGGCGGGCAGGCGGGGAGGGTCCTCCGGGGATGGGCTAGAAGGAGACAGGGGTCTGCTGAGCCCTGGGAGTGGGCAGTGCTGGGAGTGACCGCTCCTGGTCCCCAAGAGGCCAGGCACCAAGTGTGCTCCACACCAGGTCCTCATAGTGGCTGCCAGTGGACCACTGACACCCCATGTGCAGACAGGAAACCAACCACGGGAGATACCAGAAGTGGCCCAGGCCACAGAGCACTAGCAGGGTACTTGGCTGGCCATGCGCTGGCGCTGGGGGCAGAGGCCTGGCTGCTGCACGGCCCAGTGGTGCCGAGCCCACGTACCTGCTGACACAGGCAGCTGGGTGTAGATGGAGTTTATGAAGACCCCGCCATTGGCCTGGATCTGGATGATCTAGGGAGAGGAGGACACCAGGGCCGTAGAGTGAGGAGCCCGCCTGCTTGGGGGTCCAGGCAGCACTCCCCAGGCGCCAGCCCAGCAGAGGCAGAGCTAGGAGGGGAGCCCTGGCCTCAACCTCCAAGCTCTGGGGGACTCTGAGGCCCAGGGCTGGGGGCCAGGCCTGGGCCCATGGGTTGAAGGAGGGAACGAGGGTCTGTACCCTCTGAGCCAGGTTCCTGCTCCACCCCGTTTCCCAGTGGGCCCCTTACCGTGTCCCCACCGTTCATGCTGAGCGCCACCGATTTGAGGCAGTTCTCATTGTCTGTTAGGCCACACGTCCGCAGCTCGGCCAGCACAGTGAAGAGGTCGCCTGTGCATTTCTGTCAGGGTAAAGCCCCCCCACACGTTGGGGGACAGCCACACGCACACATGTGGGGCCCCTGTTCTCAGGACTGCCCTTGTGGGTAGACACGGACGGTGGCACCTGTGGCCACGTCCTGGCAGCTGGTCTCCAGCCCTGGGAGCCCCTTCTTGTGAGTGTGAGCCCAGGGGCTTCCCTCTGGGGATGAGATCCCAGGAGGAGGTCAAGGGGGGCTTCACCCCTTCTGATGGCCATCACGGAGGGCCCTTCCCAGAGGCACAGGGGCCCTGAGAGTCCCAGGACAGGTGAGGCCTGACATGCTCCCCCTCCCCTACTTACCTTGGACAGGACGTAGCTGCAGTCCCCATGCACGTCATAGAGCCTCTCGTCGTAGGTGGAGATGTGGGACCCGCCCTGAACAGAGCAGGTGCCAGGGCACGGGAGGTCCTGGCACTGCCACAGCCCCCCGGAGCAAGTGCTGGGGAGAGAGGCATGATGTGCAAGAGGCGGACCCCACCCCATGCACCCCCGCCAGGGGCAGGGCAGCCAGGATGCCTACCAGGAGCTGCAGCTGGTGGTGAAGGAGGCCCCTGGGGCGTAGGTGTGGCCGCCGTGGGTACAGGGGCACTGCTCCAGGGGCAGGCAGCCCCCATGGGTGACATCATCCAGCACCGTGCCTGGGGACAGTGGGGGGTTCATGAGTGGGCCGGGTCAGATGTTGGGAATTCAGTGACTACCGGTAGCCAGGGGGGTGGGGGCCAGTCCCCAAGGGCCAGGAGGACCTGCCTGGGGGGCAGAAGCAGCCATCCACACAGTGGTCCTCGCAGAGCTGGGAGCGCTCGGGGTTGGAGCAGGTGTCTGCGCAGGGTGAGCTGCACTCCTGGTGCTGCATGTTGAGGGGGCAGGTCTGGGCTGCAGGGAGGAGGCAGCACGTGGGCCCCAGGAAGCTGCCCAAGCACGGGGCATACAGGAAGCCCCCCCCACCCTTGACCTTCCACGTGCCATCCAGGGTCCTCAAGGGAGCCCCTCATGTTGGGAGGCTGGGCCCCCCGCCGTGCCAGCCCCCAGCTGCCATCTGCAGGAGGCGGCAGGCAAGGAAGCCTGGGGAGCAGCCCTCCTCCCTCTTGGACAGGCCCCCTGTGCCCGCCCGGCTGCTGGAGGAGCTCAGCCCACTGCACCCAGGCCAGGTCTTCCTCAGGGCTTCCCAGGTCCCCGAGGTCTTCTGCCCACTCTCTGGAATGACTCTACTTGTCCCTGGTCCCCAGCCAGGTGCCAGCTGTCCCCCCCACCCCAGGAGCCAGTGCTGGCATGGGGCACTCACGGCAGAGGTCGGGGCCCCTCCAGTTCTGGGGCCGTCCCCCCGCGTGGGCGCACTGGCGGGAATACTCCGCGAAGGTGGCACACGGGCAGGTAGGGCAGCGGCAGAGGTCCTGGGTGCAGGCGGCCACGTACTCGGTGGGATCCACCAGCGCGTTGCACTCGGCAAAGGCCCGGCCAAGCAGGGTGCGGCGGCAGACGCCCTCCTGGGGAGCACAGGGGCTCGGTGCCTGTGGGGGCGTCTCCAGGCCGGGCCCCTGCCTCCCTGAGAGGTCCCGTTAATCCTTCCATCTGTCCCTCCACTTACATATCCCTCCGTCGTCTGTTGTCCATCCACCTGCCCAGCCAGCCGTCCATCCTCCCGTCCTCCCACCACCGTGGACTCACCACCCTTGGGTGCAGAGCTCTGCGGGGCTCTGGGGAGGGAGCCCTGAGTGTGGACACCACCCACCTGCTCCAGGCTCCAGGAGGCACCTGCCCATGGCGCCAGCACCCAGGACAGCGGCACCCACCCCTCAGGCAGCCCCAGCAGAGCCAGAGCCGGCCTCCCACACCCTCTTCCCTCCCTGGCCCCAGCCAGCTGGGGGTGGGCTGCAGCACCACATCCTCATTTCAGGCTCAGGGTCAGGTTCTGCTGGTGCCTCCAGGCCACTTCTCAAAGTGGGGTCCTCCCAGCTCCCCTGTAGGTCCTGCCGCAGGCAGAACTGTATGTATGTGGATGTGAATTTGTACATGCAGAGGGGTGCACATGCTTATACATGCACTGCCCACATACTTAGGGCACGTGTGTGCAGCAGGCGAAAGTGAGTCCATACAGAGAGTGTGTCTCCAGAGCGGAGGCTGTGTCCTTTGCCAGCTGAGGGCAGGGAGCCCCTCTGTCACCTGGACACCCCAGGACCCACCACAGGAAGCCTGAGTCCGCCCTTCTGGCTGTCCCCATGCCCTGGGGGGAGCAGGGACCATGGGCAGCCTGGGTCCTGAGAGGCGCTCACCCTATCTGTGCAGTTGTTGGCTGGGGAAGGTGGGGGGTCCTGGCATTGCTCTGTGGGCCCATCCAGCTTCTGCAGATTCCCAAACTGTAGAGGGGTCAGCCTGGCATCTGTGGAGATGAGATGTTTGGTGCAGGTTGTGCTGAGGGCCCCTGGGAGCAGGGCAGGGATGGTTGCCAGGGGACCCCTGCCTGTGCCCTGGGACATCCCCACCCTGACCTGGGCAAGGCCACCCCCAGCATCCCCCCGGGATGGCACCCTGACCCCACCCTGACCCCAGGTGGCACTCACTATGGGAGTAGAACTCGTTGACAGCTGGGAGCCCGTTGAAGTCCCCACACAGTCCACACGTCTGGTTGGCGTACTTGGGGTCCAGCTCCAGCTGGGGGCAGAGAGGGGCAGCTTCAGCCTCTCCCAGCCTGCAGAGCCTGGGCCTCTGCAGACTCTGCCCCCCACCCGGCCGCGGGAGCCTGGGGGCAGAGCATCCTCACCAGGGCGCTGTCCTCTCCATTCCACAGGAAGGTCAGCCCCAGCCAGACAGTGACCTTGAGGTAGACGCTGCTCTGCTCCACCAGGAGGCCAGCACGGCTGTAGGGCAGCTCCTCCCTGGAGTGGAATATTCTGGTTGTCCCACGGCCAAGGTGTCCAGCAGGGCCCAGGGCCCTCCCCACTGGCTCTGAGCCCTGACTCCACCCCAGGGTCCTGGCACCTCCCAGCCCGGGCCAGGCTCACCTCTGCCCGTTGATGAGGACGGAGCCGTTGGAGGCTTCCAGCACCAGCCCCTGGGTCTTGAGGACGACGTGGGTGATGGTGGGCCTGGAGCCGGCCAAGCCGCGGCGGAGCTGGATGTTGAAGTCCTCGTAGGCGGCCCCGCAGTGCGCAGAGAAGACATAGTTGCACAGGCCCGGGAAGCGGAAGACGTCCCCGTCGAAGGTCTTGTAGTGGAAGTCGCCCCATGTGCTGCACACCCGCCCGTTGTGCGCAGGGTTCAGGACTGCGGGGAGAGCACGCTGGGGCCCGGGTGCATGCCACCAGCCTCGCCCAGCCACCCATGGGCAGCCGACCTTGGATTTGGGGCGGGGAGCCAGGAGGACAGCCACTCCCTGCCTTGCTGCCCCTAGCCGCTCTGATGCTCCCTGAGAGCCCTGCCCCTGCCCCAGCATCCAGGGCCACCCCCCAGGGGACCCGTCCACAGGGAAGACTCCCAGCCATGACCAAGGCCATCCAGCTGCCCACACTATGCCAGCTTCACCCCCCGGGGTCTGCGAGACCCCACCCCATCAGCAGTGGGCAGCGTCCACTCACAGCTCATGGTGGGCAAGATGGTGACGGGTGGGATGACGGTCACACTCCAAGCTGCAGAGTGAGGGTGGGTCACATGAGAAATGCCGCCAGGCTGGGACCCCTATCCTCCTCAGTGGCCGCCCTGACCCAGCCCAGGGAGCCCCAGGACCAGGGCTGTCCCCCTCCCCGCCTGCCCAAGACCCTTCTGCCCAGGGCTCCTCTGCCCTAAGTGTGCATGTGCATGTGCACATGCACTGTGTGTGAGTGAGCTCACATGTGCATGCATGTATGAGTGTGTGACCACGTGTGTATGTGCGTGTGAGTGTCTATGAGTGTTTCAGCTTCTCTACTCTGTTCCTTTGCTTTCTTTGGGCCGTGTCCCCCTCTGCCCCACCCCACCCCACCATCTCGTCTTGCGGGCAGCTGTGGGATTGGGAAGGATCTCCGTGTGACAGGCAGCTGATGTAGGAAGTGGTCCAGCCCCTGAGGGGTGCCCCACCACCCAGGGCCTGGGCCCCCTACCAGCATCCACCCGCGGACTGTTCGCAGCAGCCTCCGTGCTTGCCCAGCTTGGCTGCACACCACCCTGGGTCTCTGTGGGGAAGGGGGACAGGAGTCAGAAGCTGCACATCCGCCATCCCTTCCTGGCAGGCTTCAGGGTAGCGTCCACACGAGCAGGATCTGGCCTCCCCAGGGCTCCACGGGGTGGGAGGCCTCCACAGGGACCTTGTGCTGACCCCTGCTCTCCCCGTCCACAAGTTCAGCGGAGGGGGGTGCCTTGTCTCGCTGGGAGGGGGCAGCTGCTGCTGCTGGCTCGGGCCACAAAAATGGAATCAGGAAAAGGCATTGGCCCCATTGACCCTGGCCACCCCCGAAGAGGGATCGGCCCCATCCTGGGCGTCCCTTGGCGAAGGACAAAGACTGGCTTTGTTGGGGACAAGGACATACGCAGTCGGGGAGGCTTCTGGGCATGACTTAGCAGAAACCCAAGACCAGAGCCAGTCGCGTTGGAACTGACAGTCATGGCGGCGGGAGGCATGGGGGCCCCATTGCCCCGAGTCCTGGGGGGGTTCCCTGTGGCCTGAGTGCCCACCACCTTCAGCCTGACGGGGGCCAAGGCCAGGTGCTTCACCAATGGCCAGGCCCCCACGACCCCTCGCTGCCGTGGTGGGCGTCAGAGGAAGCCCTCCCAGGCCCCTCGGCTGAGCTCTCACTGCGGCACCCCCAGAACCCATCTGCCCAGAGTCTCCACACTCAGCCCAAGACTGAGCTTCCTGGGGAGTGGGAGGTGGGGCCCCCAGGTCCCTGGTGTGGCCAGCTCGGTGAGGTGCGCAGCGAGGCCACGGCACCAGCCTCTGCTTCCTGCTAGACTTTCCCAGCAGGGACTTCGGACACCTGGATACCGCAGGGACTGGCACGGCATTAATCTTTCCTTTCGAGGGCCCTGAATGAATGCGTTTCCCACAGGCACAGCCACTCCCTCTGTGCACCCCTGACCCCAGCCTGGCCGCACCCCACAGGCAGAAACTAGAGGGTGTCACCAGGAGGCGGGCTGCACCGCACACGCACACCCCCCGATCTGGGATTGGTTCCCACAAGGATTGGCTCAACCCGGAGCCCTGTCCCAGCAGGGTCGCTAGCGCAGCGAGGCCTGGTCCGCAGCACCTGGCCAGAGAAATGCTTGCCACCGACCATCCCATCACATAGTGGTCTGACAGCAACCCCCCTGATGTAGGACCCATCTCAGACCGCCTTTGCCCACCCCTTAAGGGACTTGCCCCCCAAGGGAAGCAGGTGAAGGATGAGGGCTCGCTGGTGAGACCCATGGCTCAGACACATGGCCTGAGGCCCGTGCAGCCCAGGAAAGCCTGGGAGAGCCTGGCTGAGTGGGTGGGTGCCCTGCTGTGCCAACCAGCACACAGCCCCCTGACCAGTGCGGCAGGCTGGGGTACTCAGCACCGCTCAGCCCCGGCCAGGGGCTCTGGGAGATGACCGTCCTCACCACCATCACCCCCTCCATGGAGAGAGCTGTGGGCCAGTGACCACCTGCCGTGACCCCTGAGCCCGGACAAGGCACCACAGGGCGGCCTGGCGGGAGCAGAGCTCGGGGCCGGGGCTGGGTGAGGCAGCCTGCAGTGGCCAGGGCTCCAGGCCAGCCTTGCTGGGTGTCACCCAGGCAGCCCCTGAGGCCGTGTCTTTCCTGTTGACAGTACGCATTAGGGATCCTGGTACTTCCCCTGGACACTAAGTGCCACAGGCTTGGGACTGACAAGGGGAGGCAGGAGGGCCAGGTCAGGGCTCAGAGGCAGCTCCTCCGCGGCTGCATGTCACCCGCCAGCTGCTCCATCCCTGATCTGAGGGGCTCCTTTGGGGGCTGCGCTGAAGCCTGTCACCGTCCCACAGACCAGAGTGGCACCCAGCCCCGGCCCCCCCAAGCCCCCACCCCAAGACCCTGTCAGCAGTTCTCCTGGGAGGACCCAGCTCCTCCTGGGTGCAGGCTGAGAACCGGTGGCCCCACATACGGGGCGAGGGCCTGCCTGCCCCTCCACAAGGGCCTGCAAGGGAGGCACCAGGCTCTCCATCCTCACCTGACTTCTGCACCAAGAACAGGGTGGCAAGGGCCCAGGCCAGCGCCAGGCACCCACTCGGGGCACCCATCCTGGGGGCTGGCAGGGCGGTGGGCAGGTGGCCGGGAAGCAGCAGCCCTGGTGCTTGCTCCCTGGGGGCCTGGGGCTTATATAGTGAGAACCCTTGGCTCTGCGCCTGGCTCCTGGGCCACGCACGGCTCCGTCCTCTCCCCCGAGCAGCCACGTGTGTTTGCTCTTGGGGAGGGGCTGAGGCAGGAAAGACGCTGGACAAGGAAGGATTTGCGGCTGTGGGCCCAGCTTCACGGGACCCCCGCCCCCACCTGCCCGCACCCGCCCCAGTGCAGGTTCTGAGAATCCGAGGGATGCAGCCCTGCCGCCTGGTGCCAGGAAGGTGTTGCCAGTGGCCCAGCCTGGACAGCAAAGCTCCTGGCTGCGGCCGCCTGCTCGTGTCTTGTGCAACCAGTGGGAGGGCGGTCAGCATGAGCCCACGCTCAGTCCCCACCCGCAGTCCCAACACTCAAACCCCATGGTCGGACCCCATGCTCAGGCCCCCATGCTCAGTCCCCACCCTCGGTCCTTGCCCTCCATCCCCCATGCTCAGCCCCCATGCTTGGCCCCCATACTTAGTCCCCACACTCAGTCCCCCACGCTGGGCCCCCACACTCGGTCCCCGTGCTCTGTCCCCATGCTCAGTCCCCACACTCAGTCCCCCACTCTCCATCCCCATGCACAGTCCCACACTCAGTCCCCCCCTACTCGGCCCCCACACTCAGTTCCCCATGCTCCGTCCCCACACTCAGTCCTCTATACTCAGTCCCCATGCTCCCTCCCCATGCTCAGTCCCCACGCTCAGTCCCCCACTCTCCGTCCCCATACACAGTCCCACACTCAATCCCCCCCACTCGGCCCCCATGCTCCGTCCCCACACTCAGTCCCCCATACTCGGCCCCCACGCTCAGTCCCCCACAATGTGTCTCCATGCTCAGTCCCCACGTTCAGTCCCCCACTCTCCATCCCCATGCACAGTCCCACACTCAGTCGCATGCTCAGTCCTCCCCACACTCGGCCCCCATGCTCAGTCCCCCGTGCTCCATCCCTACACTCAGTCCCCCCCATACTCGGCCCCCATGCTCAGTCCCCCATGCTCGGCCCCCATACTCAGTCCCATGCTTAATCCCCCATGCTCGGCTCGATGCTCGGCCCCCACGCCCAGTCCCCACACTCAGTCCCATGCTCAGTCCCCAAGCTTGGTGCCAAAGCTCCCGGGAATCTGGCTGAGGCCCCCACCATCGGTCTGCCCCAGGTGCTGGCCAGGGGTGCTCACCCCTGGCCCCTGTAGGGGGTGGTCAGCCATGTGTGGAGCGCAGGTCCCCAGGGCTGCATGGCTTGGGGGTGTCCTGGGAGGAGGCTCTGTGCCCAGAGACCTTAGCTATGCTGACCAGTGTCCCCATAGCCCTCTGGGCTCCTCTCTGTCACCAAGTTCATTTTAAGGGGACACAGAAGCCCTGAGAGTGGACACCCAGGCTGGCCCTTGTCCGGGGGCTCCCAGCACAGTGGGTTTGACCCTCCCCTCATCCTGGGATGGCTCAGTGACCCCAGGCTGGGTAGCACAAAGGAAGCTGCTGCTCCTCAGGGGCCCCTGATCCTCACCGAGGCTGATGGCCCCTGGCAGGGCTGATGGGGTCACCTCGGGGGCTGAGGATCTCTCAACCCCAGTACTGCCCTGAGTGGGAGCCACAGGGGGCCCAGCTGCCTGGCTGCTGGCCACAGGGGAACATTTTTCTGTCAGTGAAGCCTCACCGGCCATCCCCTTGTGACTCACACTCCAGGCATCTGTTCTCTGGCCCTTACCCCATGCCTGAGTGTGTCTGAGAGCAGCCCAGGGGGCACATCCCGGGTGGGAAGCAGGGGCCCCCAGGCAGTAACCAGCTCTTCAGGTGCTGGGCAGCTCCTCTATCAATTTGGGTGATAAATAGCAAGAAGTACTTGGTTACCTCCTGCCTGGTACCCCCACTGCCTGGTACCCCCTGCCTGGTAACGTCCCTGCACTTGTCTTTTTGAGGATGAGTTCGTAGAAGTGGATTTGCTGGGACAACCGGAGAACCACCTTCCAAAATGTGCCCCCTCTGCTTGTCTGGTGGCCCCCGGGGGCAGGTGTATGGAGGCTCACGGTGGACACCTGAGATCTGCTTTTCATTTGGTTCCCGGCGTCTTTGGAGCAGGGTGTACCCGCCCCGGAGCCGGCCCATATTTCCTGGCATCAGAGCTCCCGCGGATGGGCCTGGCGTGGTGCCTGCTTACGTCCACCGCCCTGCAAACCTCCGGGCTGCCCTTGGCCCCAACCCCCGTGGCTGGCCCCTCTGCATCCCTGAGGGTCCTGATTCTCAGGCCGTGCCCCCACCTGCCAGCCCCATGCACACACGAGCAGCCCTGGGCTCCTTGGACGCCAGACTCCAATAGAAGTTATTCAGCGCTTGGAATTTGCCATCTTCCCCCCACCCCCACCCCACCACCTCGGAAGGAGAGCCTCATGCGCGGGGGCCTTGCCTCTTGTTCACGGCTGGCACACAGCAGGCACTCAACACATGCGTCAAACGCGAGGTGGAGACTTGGCGTGGCCCAGGTAGTGCCTGCGAATGCTGTCCCCTGGGTGGAGGCAAGTGGCGGGCCCGCCGGGGTGCAGCTATTGAGACATCCCGGATGCGGCTCAGGAGCCTGTTTGCTCAGCCAGTTTACCTCTTCACACTTGATGGAGCTGAGGACGGAGATAAAGGAGAGAAGGGAAGCGGCTGCCGGGAAGGAGCGGGCTTGCCAGGGATGGTGCCAGGAGCCTGTCCCGCCTTGGGTCCACCCCGCCCTCACCCACACAGACTGGGGGCCGTGGGGGGGGCCACACGGGGCGGTGCAGAGCCAGAGCGCATGGCCCCCGCCCCTCAGGGGCTTGGTAGGTGTTCAGGGCCCCTTCTGAGCTCACCCCTCCCTGCACCCTAGCACCGCAGCGCAGGCTCGGGGGAGGCTCCCAGGATGCGTCAAGACTCGGCATTTATGGAGTGCTGCCAGTTTGCCCGGCTCCACCTCGGGCACCGTGAAGGGTCCAGGAGGACTGGGGCCTGGTCCTGGGAGTTGCAAGCATGGCCAACTCTGGGTCTGCTCACAGCCTGGCCCTGGACCATCCTGGGGGTGGGCTGTCCACACCTGCTGCCTCTTGCTCCTCAGACAGCTGTGTGGCCGCAGCCATGGGCACCCTGGCTGCCCCGGTCTACAGCCCCCGGGGCTTATGCTCCCTTAGCTAAGGCGCCCAGTGATGGACTGACAACCTAGGCTGGGTGACCGGGTGAGGAAGGTGACTCAGGCAGAGACGCACCCCAGGCCCCACATATGGGCAACACGCCACTCTCCTGGGCCCCCAACACACTCAGGGTGCCTCCTGTGAGGCTCCAGGGACCAGTCTGGTCCAGAAGAAACAAGCGGAGGATGCGTTGGGCCATCATGACCCCTCCAGGCTGCCAGGTTGTGCCCATGCCAGGCAGGCACCTGGGATGCAGACCAGTAGCCTTGACAGTCCCACTGGAAGGGGCGAGTCATGGTGGTAAGGGGTGAGACTGGGGGGCGCTGGGCCCCGGAGCCACCCCGCTGCAAGCAGAGAGCCTGCCACCTTGTCCTTGGGCTACAAGAACAGAGCCTCCCGAGGGACACCCCCAAACCCAGGAGGAGACCGCAGGCCACCCAACCTCTTCTACTTTTTCCTGCTCTTCACACAGATCCCTTTCCTCACCTGCGTCCTCTCTTCCTGCCTCCTGTCTTCCTTCCTTCTATCAAATTCTGAGCCCCAGGGTGGTCCTGCCCTTGACTCAGGGATTCACCTTGGATGAGGAGAACAAAAGTCTTGCCCCTGCGGAGCTTACCATGCATGGGGCCATGTGGGGAGGGACTCGGGGAGACCAAGAGAGTGATGGCACCGTGTGGGGTGGGGCGCAGCCTTCAGCACTGCCCAGCCAGATCACCCCTCCTCTTTCCAAAAGGAGACTCTACCCATTAACAACTCCTTGGCCCCTGACACCCACCATCTCCTCTCTGTCTCTGGATTTGACGGCCCCCGACCACACGAGTGAGGCCAGGCAGTGCCCACCCCTGGGTCTGGCTTATTTGCTCGGCATCACATAGTGGCAGTTGTCAGAAGGCCCTCCCTTTCTTAGGCTCAGGGGTGTCTCGCTGTGGGGATGTTACCATAGTCTGTTTCCCGGGTCATCTGCTGACCAACACGGGCTGGTTTCCACCTGTTGGCTCTGTCATTATGGGTATGCAAGTGTCTCCCCAAGTCCCTGCTTGCAGTGTCTTGGGGGACGACCATTCACATGGGCTCCACCCTCATGACCCCATCGCCTCCCAAAGCCCTCACCTGCTGACACCATCACCTCTCAAGGTGAGGACTTCAACATGTGGATTTGGGGAGGTCGTGTTCCAATCAAAGTAAGCTCCAACTCTCTTCTGGTGGAGTTTTTAGAGTTTTCTACGTGTAAGATCACGTCATCCATGACCTCCTTTCCAAACCAGGTACCTCGTAGTTCCTTTTCCTTGTCTGATTGCTCCAGCCCGAACTAACAGGAGTGGTGAGCGTGGGCATCGTTGTCTCGTTCACAATCTTGGAGGGAAAGCTCTCATTTTTCACCACTGGGAAGCCCGTGGGGGGTGGGCTTGTCACATGTTACCTTTACTACCAACATGGTTTCCTTCTAATCCCGCCTTGTTGGGTGTTGTGTTTTTTTTTTAAATTTTATTTATTTATGATAGTCACAGAGACAGAGAGAGAGAGAGGCAGAGACACAGGCAGAGGGAGAAGCAGGTTCCATGCACTGGGAGCCCGACGTGGGATTCGATCCCGGGTCTCCAGGATCGCGCCCCGGGCCAAAGGCAGGCGCCAAACCACTGCGCCACCCAGGGATCCCTTGTTGAGTGTTGTTATCATCAAAGCCTGTTCCAGCAAATTCCTTTCCTGCATCTGTTGAGATGGTCATGTGCCCTGTCATTCTATCAATGCTGATTCCTGCGTGCGGGCTGTCCTGCATGCGG